TACCAGACAGATGAGACAAAATAAAAGAAATCCTTCTTCCATCTTGTAAAAAGCTCTGAGGTGTATGATTAAAAATTATTGAACACTGGAACAGAAATCCTTTAAACTTACTTGGGTCTCCAGAAAATTTTTCGGGGAGAGATGGACGGAATTCAGGAAATGATGGGTGGATTTCTGACCTGAGAGGTGGATTGGAATCCTGAACCGGAAGCTGAACGGCTTCAACCGCAGGTGTAGTGGCCTGTGAGCTGGATCTTTGGAGAAAGTCTGTTATTTCATGCAGGGTTCGGTTAGCTTCAGCTTGGCGTTCACTTAGCTCACGGAGGGCGGAGTCATGGCTCTGAATGAGGACATGCTGTTGCTCCAAGGTCCTCTTCAGTGATTCCGCGGGGCTAGTTTGTTGGCCAGAGTGTTCTGTCATGTTGGGTTCTAGGTGTCTTACCCACATGCAGAAATCACTCTTTGAAACAGGGAAAAAGTTAAATGATTTATTAAACAATGTTCACAAGTAAATGGATGCTCAGGATCTTGGTTCTTCAGACTGGTCATGGGAGGAAAGTCACTGTGGAGGACAGAGCAGTTAGAGTTTATCCAGGAAACTTGCAGTTTACAGATGACGGGGATAAATACCTGCTCAGAGAGGATTCTGATCAGCAGGGGGGGAACCTTGTGAGTCCAGAGGCTAGTCGGCAGGCAGAGGGCTGAGGGCAGAGGCAGAGACTGAGACGGAGTGCAGGCAGGCAGATTCCAGACAGAGATTACTTTCTCCAGGATTACAGGTTTCCAGAGAAGTCAGGATCTGTGAGGCAGAAGAATACAGGATCAGGTTGGTTCACAAAATCAGGGTTTCAGATCATAGAAGCTGGCTCAGGATTTGCTATACCAATACTGGCAAACACTCTGGCAGGGAAGTGTCAGCCTCCTCCTCCTTAAATAGGTCTTCTGATGAGCAGACAGGAAACAGGTGTGTAGGAGTAAGCTCGTGCCCTCTGGAGGAAGATCTCAGGCACCCTCTGGTAGAGAAAGTGGACAAGCCTCCAGATCCCAACACAACACATATTCCTGTAGCATAGCGTAGTGTGCAGTCTATCCTGTTAGCTTTGTCTTTACTCATCAGTAAACACATGAAATGATCAACATCATGAAAAGACATATTGTTTAACTAGATCTGTCCCTAATTGTGCAAGACCTGCAAACCTCTGTCCATGTCCGTCATGTAACAGGCAGGTATTATTAGGGTTTATCAGACTCACACATCATCAATAAAAATAATCTTAGCAATTACCTTAAAAGCTTTAGGTACAGTCTTAATCATATCTAAAGGTGAAATAAAGAGGAATACTTCCTTAAATAACTTGGTTGGAACTGGATCTAACATAAGTTGAAGCCTTTGATGAAGACAATAGTTTTGCTGACTCTGAAAGTTCAACTGGATCTAAGCAGTCTTAGCCGGGTTCAGATTCTATTGCTACCTCAGATGCTGCCTCACCTTCTAGAGATAAACCAATCATAGTTAGGAGTGCTGATGATCTTATCCTAAATAGAATCACCCATAATAGAATTACCGATAAATTATAACAGAACGGGCAACGGACAGTTCACAAGAGCTCTGGGTGGGTATAGCAAAAGATCTTTCATAGCTTATTCGGCTTGTGGTGTCTGAACGGCGGCGCTATGAGCCTCAGAGTGATGAGGGTGAAGGTGTCGATCTAATTCTAGTCCTTTTAGCTTTGGTTTGCGTTATATACCAGGAGAACTGCATTAATGGTCAGCACCCGGTGTCTATCCAATCAGTAGATCTAGAGAATGGAAAAGAAAAACATTCAATTCTGACGGCGCAACAGAATTTAACCAGCTGAGTATCTGCAATTAAAGTTGTTTTAATGCTGACATTAATGCTGAAATTTGATTTTTTTCAAAACCATTAAAAATTTCAACCAGACGCATCATCATTTCTGCTAAATGATTGTCTTGGAAAACCAATAACCAATCACTGATCTCTATTTATTCACTAGTTGCTGAAAGCCCTTCGTAGTACACGGTGGAGCCACCGTCCCCCATATTGGTACTCCCTAGTTAGACAGGTCGCAGTGTAAACAATACGTGAATTTTTTATGAATTTTGCATCTTTCAGGGGGACTTAAGACTTTTAAAATAAAGATAAATTCATCCCATTGACACACACACACTGTTTCATAGCATAAGTAGATTACCGTGATTTATGATAGAAAACTAGGTACAGCATAGTAATAGTCAGTATGAAGTCAAAGATGTATATATGTCATGTAATGTAACTTATTATACAAATCCATCACAACAGAATAAATGTGTTAATGGAGCATAATATTACAGATGTGCCAAGAGTGCTGAATTAATTGTGTAAATGTAATATAATAATTTAACTTTTTTAATCTCACACTGAAGAAATTGACCTGTGCATTTAACCCATCCCCTTGGGGAGCAGTATGCTGCCATTGCGAGGTGCCCTGGGAGCATTGTGGGGTTAACAGTCTTGCTCAGGGACCCAGAGTGCAGGCTGTGGGAATCAAACCGTTAGCTTATAACCTTCTTACAGCACAAGTGCACTGCTCTAACACACAAGGCCAACACTACCCCTATATATACATGTATTGATTACATTGTTATGGTAATTACATATTACATATACTTTCAAGATTTTACATCAAGACTGAATTACAAGTACATGTCTGTTAATACTATGGTATTTTTCTATTTGCAAATTGTGCATGCATGATGCATTATGGTGTTATGCTGTGTCTGTGAATTATTATCTGGCTGTAATTCATAGTATCAGGAGATGATCAGGGCCCCATAGAGGATAGGCCGGCCCTGGTTAAGTGACATCTGCACACATGATTTTTGAGACATCAGGGATTTATTTGTTTGCTGCAAGCTTTAGAATTTCTTCATAATATAATCTTTTATTTTGACAGCTTCACAAACTCTTTGTGCATAACAAACTGGTTAAATACAGGAAATACCTCTCGGCATTTACACCTGTCATGATGGGTTTCAGAAAAGCCCAGTATGCAGAACACCACGGAAACGGATGAAAAGTTTAACAAGTTTTATTGAACACAAGCACATGGAGAAAACACAGGAACTGGTTCAGGCCTGGGGGCAGGTTCACTGGAGTCTGTGAGGATGACAGTTCAGTTAGCTTGGAAGCAGATGAGTTTGACTTTGAGAGTTTCAGGTTTATACCTTGAGGAGTCCA